GTTGATACTGTAACTGATTAAATAATTTTTCATTTTGCATTTGTATATGGAAATACAGCCATTTTCTTGTATTCTCTTACATCCTACGTCCTTCTTAAATTCACTTATTAGCTCTAGTAGGGATTAGTAGGGTTTTGTTTGCCTTTAATCACTAGGATTTTCTAACTACTTAGTCTATTGTCTGCAAGTCCTGATAGTTTTACTTTTTGCTTCCTTTATGCTACAAATGTGGTGAGAAGGCAGGTAGAATCCTTGCTTGATTCTGTATCTTGAGGAAATGTGTTTAGTCTTTCACTGTTAAGTATGTTAAGTAAGCATGTTTTTCCTAGATGTCTTGACCCTTAGGTTTAGAATTCCGTTCTGTTCCCATTTGATGAGGATTTTTATGAAATAGGTGCTGATTTTATCGGACACACTATAGATTTGAGCTTAAGTAAAGAATCTAATAGCCAAAATGAGGAATAGATCATTTGAAAAAGTTCTTTTGTGAATAGTGTTCATCTTATACACTGTTATGAATAGTTTAGTGATTCTGTTCATTTTACTGAGTCTGGTAATGAAATGTATAATTTTAGTGACAATTTTGTAGCTCTGCCATTAACTTTGTGAATTTGAATGAGTTACTTAATTCTCTAAGCTTAGGTAACTGGAAATGTGGTAGATTAACAAAAGTAAGGATGAGTGTGTTATAGAAAGAACATAGAGAATTTGAGCTTGACTAGATGTCAACATTCAGATATGCAGGAGAGACCTACATGGGTTTGGTTTGGAAGAATTTTGTTTGGTTAGCATAGATGGCATGGGAGGAGTTGTTCAGATAAGTTCAGACAGTTAAGTTGGGGCCATATGGTGTAGGGCCTTATTTATCTGACAAAGGGTTTATGAACTCAAATGTAATTTAGTGATAATTTAGTGATAACTGGGACCTTTTAAATGTTTTTGAACAAGAGAATAATATTTTACAAATATTAATTTGATGGCAGTATTGTGGCGAGATTTAATACGAAAGTTCTGGCTACTAATTAGTGAAAACTTGTTTGTTTTTAAAGTATACTACTGTGTTTTTACTTAGTGTGGACAGTGGGTATAAATTAAGTCCTTAATTTATGTTTTTCTTGCTGTTCAAAATAACATAAATGAGGTTGATATTTAAGGTTTTGAATTCATTCAGTAGTTAGAATTTGACATTTTGTGTAGATGAGAAAATTGTGAACCTTCTTTGTAAGTAAGCTCACTCTTAATGTGTGTATTATATATATATATATATATATGTAAATACACACCCTATATCTGTAATTCAGTGTTACACTTTTTATTTGATACAGTACTCCTGATTATGAAACAGTTTACTCATTTGTCAGTCAGAATTTTTTAATAGAATAAGGATGACTAATCTAAAATTAGTAATTTCTTTAAAAACAGGGAAGGTAGTTTTAGCCTTAGAATATGGTAGCTATGATACATTAGTATCGATCAAAATTTTCTTTTATAACACTCTTAATTGTGCTTATTTTTAAATTCTAAATTCTAAATAGGGAAGTTTTTAGAAAGTAGGTACTACTGAATGGTTAAAAAAGTATGGGCTTATAAATTCTCAGGATGCAAATCTTAGATCTATTACTTTTCAACTTTATGACTCTGAGAAAAACAATTTAGCATTTTTATTTCTCTCTTTCCTCATCTGTGAAATGAGGATAATATCTGCACTTACTGCATGGTGTTATGTATTGAAAGAACATCTGCAGTAAAATGTGCCTGGTCAGCATTAATACCCATATAAATGTTATATTATGAAGTAGAGCAATTAGTTAAATATTTCAGATAATTATGGGATATTTGTTAGGTAACAGTTTCTCTTGTTTCAGTACATCAAACTTTAGGGGCTGATAAAGTAAGATTTCACACCAGTTGCACTTATGCATAATCATCCCTCAGAGATAAGAATGCATGTGCTTGTCTGGCTTGCTAGTTATGGACTCAGGGCAAGTTGTTTTTTTTTTCTTTTCACCTTCCTCATAACATTTTGAGGTAGGTACTATTATTATCCTTATTTATAAATGAACAAATGGCACTAACTAATAACTTTCTCAGGGTTAAAGTGTAAGTGATGGGTCTGGGATTTGAACCCAGCAGTCTGATCCATGATCTATGATTAGTGTAGGAGCCAGAGGAACTCTTCCCTTGAAGGCTGAATAGTTTTTTCTTAAGTGCTTTTAGAAATCCAGTATCTGCTGGTACCCTCAGCAGTGTATTTCAGTCAATCTGCCTGTTCTGCTCCCCGCTCTCTCTGTCTCTGGTGAATCTTCTCAACTCCTCCCCCCTCCCACGCCTGACCTATACCCCCAGTGCGTGGCTGCATAAATAAAATCTTTAAAAAAAAAAAGAAATCCAGTATTTGTTTTATGTTTAATTGTAGATTGCATCTCACTTTACAAAATGAAGGTTAAAAAATTTTGTTTTGAAATTTACTTCACTAGAATAGTTGAAGTACCGATTTTAAAATTTTCTCACTTGGTCAAATGCCAGGAATATAGATTTTACTGTAAGAGATATTCTGGTATTAGGTAGGAATAAGGATACATTAAAGTAATACTTGAAATTTTGGACACAATGTTAGATATAGTTTATTTTTGCTCTAATTATAACAGTAACACATGTTTCTAGTTCATTTTTAAGTAGACTGGCCTCTGAGCTGGTTGCTTTAACTGTATTCCTAGATGAAAAAGACAGCCATTTTGTAAAGAATTTGTTTTTAGTTAGATGGAGCAGCTTTGGCTCTGCTCTTTGACCCCCAGATCTCACTTTTATGTGTGATTGTAATCATTATTTTATAAAAAGGAATTTTCAGCTTTCCCCATTTTACAAATGAGAAACTGTATAACTTAACTGCAATCAATTACATAACTTGTTACCGCTGAAAAGTGTGTATACATTATGTATGTTTTATAAAACCTCATAAAGCATTATGTCTTACTGGTTTGGATGAGCGGGCCATAGAACATACTGTTTTAGGGTATAGAATTCCCTTTGAAACACATATATGGATTTTCCTTTACCCCATCCATCTAAGTACTCTTTAGGTATGACATCATGCCCAGTAAGGTTTTATCTAAAATTTATATGACATCATAAATTTAAGTTTCCTTCTTATCAGAGGGAAAACACTGCTGAAGGCAGTCATATTTGTGGGAGCTATATGTTTCATTTTTTTTCTGTTGGTCAGCCTTGTCTTATTGTCTTTCCAGATAGAAGTGTCCAAATTTATCAGGTTTTCTTCACTAAAGGAATACCATCCTGTCGTCTTTTAGATTATTTCAAATTGTCTTTTGCTAAAGATCTTTCTAATATAAACCATAGATGTTTGTTTAGCTCAGGATCCCCTAATTGCAGATAAAAGTTGGCAGTGGTTAGGTTGGTAGACCAATATATAGTGTATTGTTGGCTTGGGCTGCCATACCAGAATACCATAGATTGGGTATCTTAAGCAACAGAAATTTATTTCTCACAGTTCTGGAGGCTGGGAAACCTAAAATCAAGGTTCTAGAAAGGTAGCTTTCATTCAGAGCCTTCTTCTCTTGGCTGCCATTTTACTGTGTGCTCACCTGACATCTGAGTGTGTGTACACATGCACTTGCTCATCTGTGTTCACATGCAGGAGGCCTGTCGCACAGGCAAGCTCTTTTGTCTTAGAAGGGTACTAATCTTAGAAGATCATGGTCCCACCCTCATGAACTCTTAAAACCCTAGCTTCCTCCCTAAAGGCCCTGCTTCCAAATACCATCATATTGAAGGTTAGGGCTTCAAAATAGGAATTTTGTGGGCACAAATACTCAGTTCACAACATATAACATACTGTGGTTAAGAAATGGGCTCTGGAGTTAAATCGCCTGAGTCCCACTAGTTGTCTGTTAGTTACTTACCTATTTTGTAAAGAAACTGTTAAATGGGGAATATTGACAACAACTCTTAAAATAGGTTTGTAAGGGATAAAATGAGTTTTCTTGCATGTAAGACATTTGGAATAACAAGTAACCCTCAATATTAACAAGACATGATAGCAATGATATTCCTAATGGTAATTAGTATTTTCTGTGTAATTTGGACAGTGGCACATAAGACCTTGTCTAAAAAAAATAAATGTACAATTCTTTTTTCTTTAAAACTAGACAATCTGGAATGTAAAAGAAAATGCATGAATCTCTGAAAGTGTTCTGCATTTTTTAAAAAGAATTATTCCTTTATTGTAAGATATTTTTATTTTATTTATTTTTGCATAGAATAACTGGGGTGTAGGCGAGGGGTGCAGGGACTGAGAGGATTCACCAGAGACAGAGTGGGGAACAAGACAGGCAGATCTACTGAAATATACTGCCAACTGGAGCAGCAGCTTGCAAAACAGGAGAGGTCTACTACCCCATATAGGTTGGCTCCCTGGCCAGGGATCGAGCTCATGCTGCTTTGCAGTGGGAGGGCCTTCACTGTGGTAGTGCTGACACTTAATCCCTAGGCCACCAAGGAGGCCCAAGCGTTCTGCATTTTTAACATGTCAGTAAAAAGAAATTAAAAGTTCTGATTAATTTTTTTCAGATGCATCTTTTATATTGTTGACTGGAATAGGACTGGATAATTTACCTATCTGAAAAAATGAGTAAAAGTTTTGAATGTAGCATGTTAAATTAGAGGAATAGTATCTTAAGGCCATGGAATTTAGTTCATAAAGTTTCTTGAAAAATGATAGATTTATGAATATGTTTAAAGCTGTAGAAACTAGAAGGACACGGGTGTGCACTGTGGATATATTAAACTTTATAGTATATTAAACTTAATCTGAATTCATGGTACTATTTTCCTATTCATCTTGGCCTTTTCTCGGTAGATACAGTTTTATGTTATCTCATTGCAAACTGAACCTGTGCTTGCTGCTCTTTAGTCTCCTTCCAACTCTCTTTATTTCTGCTGAGGTTATATTCTATTTGTTTTTCAGATGAGACACTTTTTGCTCTTCCTGCTGCATCTGAGTCTGTGATACACTCCTCTGCAGGCAAGTTCTTTCTGCTAGCCTTTTATCCTCTGTGTGTTCTAGCTTTAACTCTAGCTTTGTTAACTGTAGAGAGTAGTTTGAATTTACTAAATATTAGTATTGGTTCTAAGAATGTTTGTCTACTGAAAAACCTGAAATTTACATTTTAGATGCTATATCCAAGAGAGAAATGGGTAGAACCTGTAATAATCAAAATTATGTAAGGAATTCTTAGACCCTTGATACACGTATTTAAATATTGACTTCCTCCTCTTGGTACAGTTAATTTGTTTATAGTGTAAAGCTTTCTTGTAATGAATGCTTGTCTATGGCATTTAATTATCCAATGCCACTTCTTTTTATTACTGCCAAACTCTTCTCTTAAATTTTCTTTCCTTCCTCTCAAAGATGAGTTAAAAGTAGTTTTTCTCAGTTGATTTTGAGACTTGATCTGTGCCTTTGTGTAGCATATAATCCACCTCTGTAGCTGTGCACAGGTTTTATTGACAGAACTTTAAATTTTTTCAGTAATGATTCAAAGTCTACTTGGTTGTTTATGAAATGTTAACTAACATTTAATTCTAGTTAACAGTCAGTTACTAAAACGCTATTTTGAATCTATCATAAAACTTGCATTAACTCTGAGAACACTGGCATTCTCTAACTTTCCTTTCTGTCCATGGTCACAGAAAAAATTATGGACATGAAGGAGCAGCCAGGTAACACTGTTTCCACTGGTCAAGAGGATTTCCCATCTCTCCTGCTTGAAACTGCTGCTTCTCTTCCTTCTCTATCTCCCTTCTCAGCTGCTTCTTTTAAAGAACAGGAATACCTTGGTAATTTATCAGCAGTATTACCCACCAAAGGAACACATCAAGAAACTTCAAATGAAGCTTTTAAAGCATTCTCAGAGAAGGCAAAAAATCCATTTGTAGACAAAGATGTAACAGAATTTTCAGAATTGGAATACTCAGAAATGGGATCATCATTCAGTGGCTCTCAAAAGGTAGAATCTGCCATAATAGCAGACCCTAGGGAAGAGATAATTGTGAAGAGTAAAGATGAAGAAGATGATTTAGTTAGTAATAACATCCTTCATAATCAACAAGTCTTACCTGTAGCCCTGACTAAATCAGTTAAAGAGGAGGACAAAATTGTGTCTCCAGAAAAAACAAAGGACAGTTTTAATGTAAAGGGAATTAGAGCAGAAGCTCCTTTGAGGGAAGAATATGCAGACTTCAAACCATTTGAACAAGTATGGGAAATAAAAGAGACTTATAAGGAAAATAGTGATGTGTTGGCTTCTGGAGGTAATATAGAGGGCAAGTTAGAAAGTAAAATGTATGAGAAATGTTTTGCAGGTAACCTTGAGCAAATGAGTCATGGAAAAGATAGCGAAAGCAGTAATGATGATACCTCTTTTCCCAGTACACCAGAAGCTATAAAGGATGGTTCGGGAGCATATATCACATGTGCTCCCTTTAACCCAGCTGCAACTGAAAGAATGTCAACAAATATTTTTCCTTTGTTGGAGGACCGTGCTTCAGAAAACAAGACAGATGAAAAAAAAATAGAGGAGAAGAAGGCCCAAATTATAACGGAGAAGAATACTAGCACCAAAACATCAAATCCTTTCCTTGTAGCAACCCAGGATGCTGAGACAACAGATTATGTCACAACAGATAATTTATCAAAGGTGTCTGGTGGGGAAGTAGTGGCAAATATGCCTGAAGGCCTAACCCCAGATTTAGTACAGGAAGCTTGTGAAAGTGAATTGAATGAAGTGACAGGTACAAAGGTTGCTTTTGAAACAAAAATGGACTTGGTTCAGACATCAGAAACTTTGCAGGAGTCACTATACCCCGTAGCACAGCTTTGCCCATCATTTGAAGAATCTGAAGCTACTCCTTCACCAGTTTTGCCTGACATTGTTATGGAAGCACCATTAAATTCCATCGTTCCTAGTGCTGGTGCTTCTGCAGTGCAGCCCAGTTCATCACCTTTAGAAGCTCCTCTTATAGTTAATTATGAAAACATGAAACTTGAGCCTGAAAATCCACCCCCTTATGAAGAGGCCATGAATGTATCACTAAAAAAAGTATCAGGAATAATAAAGGAAGGAACTAAAGAGCCTGAAGGTGCTCAAGAAACAGAAACTCCTTATATATCTATTGCTTGTGATTTGATTAAAGAGACAAAACTCACTACTGAACCAATGCCAGATTTTTCTAATTATTCAGAAATAGCAAAAGTTGCACAGCCTGTGCCTGATCATTCTGAGCTAGTTGAAGATTCCTCACCTGATTCTGAACCAGTTGACTTATTTAGTGATGACTCAATATCTGACGTTCCCCCCAAACAAGATGAAGCTGTGATACTTGTGAAAGAAAGTCTCATTGAAACATCTCAGTCAATCAGCAAACAGGAAAGTAAGGAAAGATTCAGTGCTTCACCACTTCCTGAGGTGGGAAAGCCATATTTAGAATCATTTCAGCCTAATTTAGATACCACAAAAAGTACCTTATCACCTGATGAAGTTTCAACATTGACCCAAAAGGAGAAAATTCCTTTGCAGATGGAGGAACTCAATACTGCAGTTTATTCAAATGATGGCTTATTTATTTCTAAGGAAGCAAAAATAAGAGAGAGTGAAACATTTTCAGATTCATCCCCAATTGAGATTATAGACGAATTCCCTACATTTGTCAGTTCTAAAACTGATTTTTCTCCTCAGATAGTCAGGGAATACAGTGACCTAGAAGTATCCCACAAAAGTGAAAAAGCTAATGTCCAGGATGGAGCTGAGTCATTGCCTTGCTCACATTTACCCCATACTCTTTCTTTCAAGAATGCACAACCTAAAGATGAAGATGAAGTCTGTGTCTCAGATAAATTTTCCAAAGAGAGGCCTGATACTTCAAAGGTGTCCTTACTGCCTCCAAATATTCCTGCTTTGCCCACTCAAACAGAGATAGGCAGTATAGTTAAACCCAAAGTTCTTTTGAAAGAAGCTGAGAAAAAACTTCCTCCTGATACAGAAAAGGAGAAAAGATCACCATCTGCTATATTTTCAGCAGAGCTGAGTAAAACTTCAGGTAATCAGTCCATACATTATTTTGTGCTTCTTAACACTATTTTTCCTTATCATGTGACATTCTACTACATTTTGTGTAGTATATTGCATTTATCATATCTAATATAGCACATTGGTAAGAATTCTTTTCTACTGTCTTGTTTGAAGGTTTTAGTATTTTTTCTATCTTGCTTGCAATCACCACTCATCCTTGATTTTAACTTTTTCATGCAATTACCCAATGGTCGTTTTTACATTGCACCATGGAATTAGAATTTTTTTTTTTTAGCTAGAATTGGCTCAGTGTCTATTTCTTTTCACTTGCTTTAGTGTTTCTTGATAGCGTGAAGAGCAAGAGCATTAAAAAATAGACATTTCCTGGTTTTCCCAGAAATATTTCATTTAACATTTTTAATGAAAGAGCATTTCTCTAACATTTCTAATATTTCAATATAATGTAGTGCTTTCCAGTGATAGGTATAACTTAACATAAAAAAAATTGAGTAGTAGACATTTTGTTGAAAAGTGTTAATTATGAACTGATGTATGTACTCATTCTCATTTTTTGGTCTTGACTCTACATTTTCCCAATACTTGGTTTGTGTGAAGTGATTTGAACATGTGTTTTTAATTTAACATTCTAATTTAGCTTTTTTCCCTCCATAAAAATATCTAGTGATTATTGTGTATTTACTGTGTTAGTTATTGGAGGAGGGTGACATTTACTGGTAGCGAGACCAGTTAGAGATTATTACTATAATTTAAGAAAGAGATTAACATTAAGGCGGTGGGATGAGCATGGAGACATCGGACTTAGTATTTGATTGAAGATGGACACGAACGAGAAGGGAAGGACTTAGACATGACTACACGGACCCTGCATTGTTGGTCTGCACAATTACCTTAGATGACAATCACCTGAAATCAGGACTAAGGAAACATGAAAGAATACATGCTTAAGAAGTGGAGATAGAAACTTCAATTTTGATTATGTTTTTATTAAGGTACCTATGAGACATCCAAAAGTGATGGATGTGAGAGACTTTGATTATATTTGCCCTAAGTTGAGAAATAGTAATGGAAACCACAGTCTTCAACTAGGTGGAGCCAAGAGAAGATTCGATGGTGGAAGAATTTGTTCAACATTATCAAATATTAGAGAGATCAGTTAAGAATTGTGAATTTGTGGAAAAAATGAGGGAAGGAATTGGCTTGACAGTGGCAAGTAGTGTGAATTGGGCAGTGCTAGGGTTGAGTAAATAGGACTTGAGCAAATGGATAATAAATGTTGACAATTTCTAAGTAGTTTGATAATGTGGAGAAGGTGGTGTTTGCATGTGCAAGGGAGTGTGTGAGGTTAAGGAACAACTTTTTCTTAAGGATGTCTAGTAGAAAGTCCAAGAGGAGATGATATGAGACTCAGGTAGAGGATTTAGAAAGAAAGATTTTGAAGGACTTTGTAGTGAAAGGTGAGCAAAGGTTGTAGTGAAAGGAGAGTAGAATAAAGGTGTTGCTAGGATTTTGTAGCTGGAAGGTGAAATTGTTGGATATGTTTATTCTTTAGAGTAGTATATTAGGTTATTTGCTGAGAGTAACTGAAACATGCTTGGGTGAAAGAGGCCTGAAATGTCTTCTAATTAGAGAAACAAATACATTTGCATTTAGAGTTGAAGAGGTGGTCTGTGTGTGCTGATGGGGTGAGGCCAAAGTCTGGATATGGATTCAGAGAAGGCAAATTCAAGGTTGTGTGTTACTAGATGGACCCATTGCTGTAGTCAATGGAAGTGGGGATAATAGTAAGAGAGTAGATTGAAATAATGGATTGTGACATGTAAGTTGAAGATTGTAAAGAGAGAAAAGGGAGTTGGTAAGAGTAGAAAGTCAGCTTGAGGACCAAATGAGATCTAAGAACCAAGAGTAATGAGAATAAAAATAAGAACACCAAAACGATAGGATGCTGTGGTCTAAGTAGGATTGTGTCTGTGCTTGTGTGTTAGATGTTGAATTTGGAATTCCATAATGATCATGAGACAAGGACTAAAGTGGGAAAGTTGCTGGAGGTGAAGTCAAGTAAACCGTGAAGCTAAGATGTTGGATTGTTCTTTCACATGGTATTAAAGTCGTGATGATGGCAGGATGATGGCAGGACTTGGGTGACAAGAAAGATTAGGAGCTAGGAACAAGAGTCTTTTTCATATAGGGTAGTGAGGCAACTGGCAGAATGGTAGATGGGAGCAATAAGGAAGGACAGAGTATGGATGTCTGGATGACTGCGACTGTTGCCCCAAACCTCTGAAATAATAGTCTGGGTTGAGGTATTTGAGAATACATATCCCCTATTTAGAGAATTCCATAGGGAAGGCGGTTTGAAGAATTAGATTTGGTAGCAATTTTCAGTGAAGAAGTTGAAGGTTAGGGGAGATGGTTCACAGTGGAGTTGGGATTTCCAACAGCACAGTAAAATGGTTTAGGAGAGAGAAAACAAGAGAAGCCCAGAGCAGCGTAATGATAGTGTGGGTGAAGACCAACGTAAAGCAGGGAGGTGTTATAACAGTCTCTAACGTCTAACTGTGTCTACCCCCAACACTCCCTCCTTGATGCTGATGGTCTTCTAGTAGATGCGGGCACTCAGGTATTATGATGCCTTGTTTTGATTTAAGTAAAGAAATGAGAGCAGTGCTTAGAATGCTGAGTAGGGATGGTTGAAGAAGGAAGTATAAACAATGTTCGCGTTTTTTCTTTAGAGAATAGTTACTAATGCCTTTTCAGAATAAAGATGTCATGTACAAGAGATCATATGGTATGTCTTTTTCTGACTGACTTAACATAGTATCCTTAAGGCCCATCCATATCCCAAATGGCAGGATTTCTTCTTTTTTTTTTTCCCCCAGATTTTTTTTTTAATTTATACAATAGCTGGGGTACAGGCAAGAGGCACGGGAGGGTGAGAGGATTCACTGGCACAGAACAGGCAGACAGACTGAAAGCACTGCTGAGGGGAGCAGCGGGCGCGACAGGAGAGGTCTGCTGCGCCATGTGGAAATCTCCCTGGCTGGCTGGGAATCGAACCTGTGCTGCATAGGGTGTGGACAGCTTCACAGCGCTGTGCTCAATAAAATTGAGCACAACCTGCTGCGCCACTGGGGAGGCCCAGGATTTCATTTTTTATAGCTGAATAATGTTTCATTTCATATATATAAAATTTTACTCTCTGTGTGTGAAGTTTCACTCATTTTCTGTACCCATTAATCCATCGGTGAACACTTAGGTTGCTTGTGTACCTGGGCTATCGTAAATAATGCTGTCATAGGGAATGCATATATATCTTTTTGAGTTACTGTTTTGTTTTGTTTTTGATAAATACCCAGAATTGGAATTGTTGAATCACTTGGTAATTCTATTTTTGTTTTTTAAAGATTTTTATTTATTTATTTACACAAGAACCAGGGTACAGGCCAGATTCGCGGGAGGGTGAGAGGATTCACCAGAGACAGAGTGGTGAACAGAACAGGCAGACTGGGCCTCCCCTGGTGGCGCAGCGGTTGAGCGCTGGGCTGCGAAGCTGCCCGCAGCCTCTGCAGCACGGGTTCGATCCCCGGTTCGTCAGTCTGCCTGTTCTGTTCTCCACTCTGGCTCTGATGAATTCCCTCACCTTCCTGCGCTTCTGACTGTACCCAGTGCTTGTATAAATAAATAAATCTAAAAAAAAAAAAAAAAAAAAAAAAAGAACAGGCAGACTGACTGGAATACACTGCTGGGGGGAGCAGTGGGCGAGACAGGAGAGGTCTGCCACACCATGTGGGACCCTTGCTGGCCAGCCGGGATCGAACCGGCACTGCAGAGGCTGTGGACAGCTTCACAGCGCTGCGCTCAACTGCCTGCGCCACCAGGGGAGGCCCTCTATTTTTATTTTTTTGAGGAACTTATATACTATATTTTATAGTGACTGCATCAGTCTACATTCCCACGAACAATGTACAAAGGTTCCCTTTCTCCACATTCATGCAAATATCTGTTATCTCTTGTGTTTTTGATAATGGCCATTTTACCATGTGTGAGGCAATATCTCGTCGTGGTTGATTTATGTTTTTTCCTGATGATTAGAGGGATGTTGAGAATCTCTTTATGTATCTTTATCTCTTTAGCCATCTGTATGTCTTCTTTGGAAAAATAATTTATGTTCTTTAATTTTTAAAAAAATTCTGTGGCTAAAGATTTATTCTTTGGTATCCTCATGGCTTCCATTTTTGCTTACAGTATTACTATTGGTACTTTCCTCACTTTCTACTCATTAAAAAATGAAACAACAAAGGTATAAGAAAACATCCTAATAATTGTATAAATTTGTCTACTATAAATAGACCAAGATAGTGAAACTTTTGGAAAGTATAGACACTGACAGGCAGCACTACCACATGACAATTGAAATGTTTTTCTCAGATCGTATTTACAAGTCTCATTTTTGCACAGGAATGACAGTTTCGGGATAGGAGTATATAATCATTGGAAGTGGAAGACACCGATACATACTAAGAGTGAAGAGTGGTTAGCTCAACCTTGTAATGTTAGGAATGGCTTCAGTGAAGAGAGGATTCTATGAAAATTTCAAATTACAAACGAGTAAACACATAGCCCTGCTTATTTATGTAAATGTGACAAAAGTTTTCCAAATCCTGTTTTGTGTCATATTAGGGGTAGGTGAGTGTATTGTGAGTGTTATGGCCAGTATGTAGAAACCTCCTCACTTGCAGCAGGGATGTAGATTTGTGAGCTGATCATGTGTAACTAAGTAAAAAAATAATTTGGGTTTATTCAGAGTTTTAACTGAAATCAATGTAAGCTAAAGAAGAATTTGATACTTGAGATGCTAAATTAGTTATGACTGGAATTTAGCAGAATTTAAAAAAAAATATGGAATCATTTAGGTAGGATAGTTCTAAAAATCATTGCTTTTTAAAATTTGACTTGTGTGGAAATAACTTCAAACTTAAAAATAATTGCTGTTTATCTAAACTTCCCTATTAACATTTACCCCATTTGCTTTATTATGATCTCTTTCTATAGCTAACTACCTGGACACATTATCAATCTTGTTTTCTCAGAATCATTTGAGAGTAATAATATGTGCATTCTGACCTAAATGCTTCAGAAAGAGATATTCTTTTACATAACCTCAGTATAGCTCTTAAATCCCTAAATTTACATTTATATAGTCTACCATTCATATTCCAGTTTTTTTATTTGCCCAATAATGTCCTTTATAGTTTTCTCTACTATAAGATCTGCATTTAATCTTCCAAGTTTTGCATTTAATTATCATGTTGCTTTTATGTCTTTAAATCTGGATCACTTCCATTCTTTACTCCATGTGACATTAATATTTTTGAACAATATAGGCTCCTTCCACATTTTGTAGTTGTTTGATGTTTCTTAGTGATTAGAATGAGATTATGAATTCATGGGCAAAATGAAGATGATGTAGTATTTCTCTCATGGTATCATATTTGGAGTACTCGCTATCCATCAATCCGTCAGTGATGAGTTTAATTTTGAGTATGTGACCGTTTGTCCCTGTTTTCCTCATTGAAAAATAGATACTTAACACCATGCAGAATGCCTGCCCCCCAGCAGGCATTACCCCACCCCAAATTTAGTATTCATTGATAATTCTTCCTTGATTCAATTTTTACCATTAAGTTGCAATTTGATGACTTTTCAGTTCCAACATTCCCTCCATGTTTCTAAATTAGGCTTTGTCATTTTACTGTTGGCAAGAGCCCTTTTCCGTTAATGAATTAGTTATCAGTGTGGATCAGTGAACATCTATTTCCCCCTCAATGGTTTATAATGCATTACTAAAAAGTAACTGAAGGAAAAAACGTAAAAAAACGTACAAAGACTGTCTTACATTCTACCTGGAGGGTCCCACACTGATGAGGTTAATGTTTTCTACTAAATGTAAACTGTTCTGATTTGGTGGGCCCTATTCAAATCGACCAGCAGCTATCTTTTTTGTGCTGGTGGGAGTGCAGAGGGTGGTAGAAAGGAAAACATTTCTTCTTTCTAACATAACAAAATGTTGACGATTCATCTCATGCCTACTGTGCTCAGAACTGCAGCCATTTCTCTAGGGATACTTGATTGCTTTTAATCTGTAGTTGTGTTAAAGGTCAAGAGCTGAATGGTAGTTAATACTCCCGGTTATTAGGATCATTTTTATCTCTTTCAGTGGGCAGAACTAGGAAATGCTTGTATACATATATACAACTAAGCATAAGCATGAACATTTACTTATTTTAGAAATTATGAGTTCACACAGATAACTTCAGTTCTGATCCATTCCCAAAATGATCATTTCTTCTTTCACTTTCTTTTTTTTTTTTTTTTAAAGATTCATTTATCTATGCATACAAGAACACAGGCCAGACATGTGGGGGTCGGGAGGGATGGGGTTAGAGGATCCACTAGAAACTGAATGGTGAACAGAACAGGCAGATTGACTGAAATACACCGCTGAGGGGAGCAGCAGGTGAGACAGGAGAGGTCTGCCTTGCCATGTGGGTTTCTCCCTGGCTGGCCGGGGATCGAACTCGTGCTGCAGAAGCTGCGCATTGCTTCATAGTGAGGTGCCCAACCCCTTGTGCCACCAGGGAAGCCCTCACTTCCTATTTTTGCATGTTCCTTGGATCATGAGTACCCTGGCTCGCAACACTACCAATACATTTACTCACTTGCTTAACTCTTTAATTTAATATACCTAAAATAGTTATAAAATGCTTTTTAAAATTGTTATAATACAATGACGTTAATAAAGTTACCTCCTGCCCAAGATTGTATATAAATATATATATGCACAAATGCAAATTACTTGGATTAGTTCTTTTTTCCCTTTTCTCCACCTTCAGTGTGGTTGTAATATTCATTTGAAAATTAGATTAATGTGTTTCAGTTTCAGTTTTTCTTTTTTTCTATTTAGGAGGATTCTAAATTGGGAATTTTGAAAGTTGGAGAAAATCTTTTTTTTTAAAGATTTATGTATATGTATACAAGATCTGGGGTGTAGGCCACAGGTGCAGGGAGGTGAGAAGATTCACCAGAGACAGAGTGGGGTGCAGAACAGGCAGATCTACTGAAATACACTGCTGAGGGGAGCAGAGGGAGAGAGAGGAGAGGTCTGCTGTACCATATGGGTTAGATTGTATGCTGTAATGACTGGCAGTAGCTTGATGAGCACTGTGTCTTTAACCCCTGTGCCACCAGGGAGGCCCAGGAGAAAAGCTTTTTTGCATATTGATATCAGTTAGTCTCCACCATAATCTTAAAGAAGAAACTACTTTTTTTTAAAGACGTATTTTTAAAGATTTATTTATGCATATAAGAACTGGGGTATAGGTCAGAGGTGTGGGGGGTGAGAGGATTCACCAGAGACAGAGTGAGGAGCTGAACAGGCGGATCTACTGAAATAACACTGCTGAGGGGAGCAGCCAGTGAGACAGGAGAGGTCTGCTGTGTCATGTGGGTCATTTCCCTGCCTGACGATCACACTCATGTTGCAGTGGCTGGTGATAGCTTGATAGCGCTGCGACTTAACCCCTGCACCACCAGGGAGGCCCAAAAGAAACTATTTTATGATGATAAAACCTAAACTGAGAGATAGTAACTCTCCTAAGGTATATAGCAAATTATGTAATACACATAATACCTTTGAACTTCCGTTGTTTTCTAGATACTGGTTTAATGTTCTTTCTTATACTCTTCCACAAGGGAGATTTTTTTCCCCAGCGTGTGAAGAACTTGGGTTCCAGTATAGGTTTTACCCTTTTCTTAGTTGTTTCCCCATTTTGGATTGAGCAGTTATTGCCCTAAATTTAGCTGACAACCAAGGTGTTGCTGCCATAATTATATAGTTCTTGTGTTGGGGACATTAGCCAATGCCAAAACATTTTTTAAAAGTCAAGAAAATCTATTTTTTGTCATGTAGGGATAAAAGAATGAAGATAACATTTTGTTGCTTCCATGTGGAGACTGAATGACCCTAGTGAGGTCAGCTATTACCTATGTTGTTGGTAGGCCATTGATAAAGAAAGATGCTAATGTCTTTGATCCATATGACTGATTTTAACTTAATGATACTGATTGCTTTAATATGTTTTTCTGTTTGCTTGTTCTTTCACTAACTCATAGAATATTTTCAGTTTGCAATCCAGAGTAGAGGTTGTGTTTTGCTGACCTGCTGGAACATTTGGTGAATAATGTATAAACCACAAGTTGATTATTTATTCATGATACTTAAACTGTTTACTATCTAATAGCAAGTAGTATTACCATAATAAAGAGCTCACTGAGAAGAACCCACTTATCTAGATTAAAAATAAAAATTATAGTTTGCAAATTTGTATATACTGTGTACTCATGAGTAAGAGCTTTATTTTGATGTTTAGACTTAACACATTTTTCTTATATTAAAAAAATTTTCTAGATAGCTTTTCACCTTTTTCACTAAATTATAGCAATTAAGGCTTAGTATTTTGGTTAAAATGTATTTTTAATGACCATATTTAGGACACTTTTAGTGGGACTTTGGTTATGATAGTGAGTCTTAACTTGAAACAAGTTAGAAATTTATGTACTTGGAAAATGTTTAACAAATTGAGTAGAAATACCTTTAACTAGAACACTCCTAGTAAATGTAAAGTGTACCTAAATTGTGACTGTTAATAAAGGAATTGATGATATTTACTTCAATGTCACATTGTAAAATCAGTGAGGATTCATTTAGTACTTACTATGGACCCAATACAAGTTGAAAATAAATATGAAGTATGTATCATAAAAAATAAGATACTGCTAAATATAATGTGGTTGAAAGAACTTCATCTTAGACAGTTTACAGACATTTTACAACTTTTAGTTGCAATACTGACTATCGATTAGCTGGGCAAATGCTTAAATTTTTTGAGCTTCCTAATTTTATTAGTCAGAATTTCTCTCATGGACCTGCCAGCTGTCAGTGAAATCAGTAACATTGTAGCTTCTAAAAAAAGATTTAGCAAAATCTTACATAATGCAAACATTTCCTTGTCTTTAAATAATTTTCTGTGTGAACAATTTTTTTTGATGCTTAGTGTTCCTTAGTATGATTATAATTTCACCAGTGGTCTGGCTCCTCTTGTATTATTCCCTACTTCTAATTTTTTAAGTAATGCTATCATGCTTATCTCTCTATATTTAAATATGTTTTACATAGCTATTAATTTTTTTTCATAAATTATGAGAAATAAACCCTTAGGCCAGTGGGTATGACATTAAGAATTTAAACAAAAAATTACCATTAGAAAAGTTGGACTACTTTTTATCCTCACAAAACACCCTTTTCTCTGTTATCATTGTGTTTATTATAAATATTTTCATAGATAATAGTTCCACATTATACAAAATTCAAAAAGTACAATGACAATCTTCCTGTTTCTGTTGCCTACCCATCTAGCGCTCTTTGCTAGAAAGTCATTATGATTTATTTCTTATTATATATCCTCCTGGTTACTCTGTGCTTGTTATTTCTTTACCTTAGCAGTTTAGGTTAAATGGTATTTGTTGGTTTGCTCTTCGATTATTATTGAAGAAGAACATGTTCCATTTCTTAACCTTATTTGTAATTCTGTTGTGAATTGCCTGTTCATACCCTTTGCCCATTTTAAAATACTCATCTCTTCTGAGTTATTTATATACAAAGGATGCAAACTCTTGAAATATTAGTTTTCCCAATGATTTTTTTCTTCACATTTTAGTGGGTATTTTCCTGTATATTACCATGGGAAAATTACAATTTTTATTTGCGGTTTCATTGTCACACTTACTTCTGATTGTTTTAAAATTGATTCTGCATTCTGGTTAGAGATAATTTTACATCATAAGCCTTTTTGGTGGTGTTTTTTTCCTTTTCCCATCAAACTGATCTAGTTGCCTGTTACCATGCTGCAATTGTAGAGAAGAGTAAAAAATTAAGAACAGTTTTTTGGATTGTACAATCAACTGTACTACGGGAGTTGGTGCCATCTAGTGTTGTTGCTAGAAAACAAGGTATGCAGAATGCTCTATAATTACCATATGGAATAAATACATAGTTGGGCAGAGAAATGTAAAGATTTACGAATTTTTGCTTTATGTTAATTTTTCATATAGCATTTTTAAAACAGACTATAAAATGATTTTGAATTTTGACACATGGTACTGAATTAATGCTTGAATCATGCTATTTTAGACATGAAATGACTATGATTTCCCCGTGTACTTAAGTGAAAGCTAAGAAGTTGCAGAAGGTCTGTGCAAAGCCTGGTGACTATTACAGTTCCAAATTTCAAAATGCTTTGGATCTTTTGTAATATCTGAACATTTATTTAGGGTATAATAAGCCAGAATTTATTTAGTTCTCATTGAATAGTATTATTTTCTGTTTTCTGTGGATTCTAGTGTTCATTTTTAGCAGCTATATGAAATGGTCTATAATTAAAATGCTCATTTTTTTTGGTCTTTTATATTGTCATTCATTTTCTCTATATCTTAAGGTTCAATTCGTAGTTAATGTTGAAGTGCTATAATTTAGTCCATAGAGGGCATTATTTTACAGCACATGGTATTAGACAGCATTATTTAATACCTTCAGTAATGAGACTTAAGTTTAGTTTCATGAGAGATTAGAATAATTAAATTTTGGAATATGTTTAAAACTGTGCAGCTGTAATTATATCTTTATTAATAAGGAAAAATCCTGCCAGAAAGTAGAAATAATTATTTTAGTTATTAAGGTTGTATACAAATTAAGAGTTTAGCACTTTCAGTCCAAATGACCATCTTGTTTCCACCTAATTTCCCTCGACCTCTAAACATTGTAAACAAAACAAAAACATGAGTTTTTGGCAGCACCTTTATAGTATGGTGTCTGATTCATTTATTGTTCAGTAAAGCTAATTAGATCTCTAAATTTTGAAAATAAGAAAATTGAGTGTTTCTGTGATTCAGAAGTAGAGGAAAGAAAGAAATGGAAAAGGAGAAATTTTAGGAGAGCTGGCTGGGGTGGGCTTACAGCCTATATATTACTGCCTGTTCCAAAAGTAACAGGCCTCTACTGTCTGAAATCCTGCAATTAAGATACAAGCCAAAAATACACATGCACACGGGGTGGTGGAGGGGGCCAGGGGAGTATTCATAAGAGGGTTATAGAGAAAGGGTTTTTTTAAAGTAGGAATTGAGTTAATCATACAGTTCTGCTAATGAGGTAAGTGTACTGAGAAAATTAGTTTTGAGATATGGGAAGAGAAACATTCAGTGTAAGTCATTTCAGAGCATGGTTTCATTTAGAGAGAAATTAGAGATATGCTTGGGGAAGGTCCTTCATAGGTGTTTGAAAAGTCATGGCAGAAGTCCTGGGGATTTGGATATTGAGGGGTAAGTTGCCATTTTGAGTTCAAGTACAGGAGTGTCATTCTCCCTCCTCACCCCCCCACACTGCCCCCACCCCTCCCTACAGACAATATGCAGTAGGACTTAGAATACAGACAAAACTTTTTATTGTTTATAAATACAGGAATCTTCTGTGTCCGCCGTCTTTGGAAGCCTGCACTTTTTTTTTTTCAACGTTGTTTTTCTTTCTTTCCTTTTTTTAAAGATTTATTTATTTATGCAAGCACTGGGTACAGTCAGAAGCGCGCGGAGGGTGAGGATTCACCAGAGCCACAGCGGGGAACAGAACAGGCAGAAGGACAGAAGTACACTGCTGAGGGGAGCACGGGGCAGGGCAGGAGAGGTCTGCGTGGCGCCATGTGGGACCCTCGCCAGCAGCCGGGGATCGAACCAGTGCTGCAGAGGTTGCGGGCAACTTCGCAGCCCGGTGCTCAGCCCGCTACGCCACCAAGGGAGGCCCTGGAAGCCTGCACTTTTAAGGGAAAATGGGTTCCTGTCCCAAATAATTAAAACACTTTGCCAAGTAACTTGTAGATATATCTCTTTTGCCAGAAAGTGGAAATAATTATTTTAGTTATCAAGGCTGTATGCAAGTACTGCCCAGCTTAGAGGGAAGTATTTGCTTTGTTTGATGGCTACTTTATTTGAAAACTTTCTTTTAAAGAACTTTTCATTTTTTAAAACAAAATGTTAAATATTTGAAGGAAAACAAACTAAATGAAGAAAAGTTGTTAACATTTATGTTCTTTATTTGCCTGTTAAGTTGGGATTTAATATGGAATAAGACAATGTGGAATGAGACATAAACTATCCATATACACATTTTCTCAGGTGGAAAATGACAGAACTTCATAGTAAAGCACAATTTGTGGGGAAGGGTGGGGGGGGCACTGGTATTGAAAGTATTGGGCTATTGCTTAGAATCAAATGGCTTAAATATATGAGATTTCTTATAAATACCTTATGTATCTTGTCTCCTGGTAGTTTGATGGTTTTTTTTTTCTTTATTTTAGCCTGATAACAATAGCACACAGCTAATACTTCCATAGTACCCTTTTTGCCAGGCACTGTCCTGAGACTTTTATTTATTTTTTAAAAAACATTTATTTTATTTATTCATGCAGGATCTGGGGTGTAGGTCAGAGGTGCAGGGGTTGAGAGGATTCACCAGAGACAGAATGGGGAGCAGAACAGACAGATCTACTGAAATAAACTGCTGAGGGAGCAGCTGGCGAAACAGGAAAGGTCTGCTGGGCCATGTGGGTAGCTCCTAGGCTGGGGATTAAATTCCTGCTACAGTGGCTAAGGGTTGCTTCATAGTGCTGAGACTTAATCCCTTGTGCCATCAGGGAGGCCCCACTGAGGACATTTAATATATTAACTTATTTGATCACAGTAACTAGCCTACATGACTTTTATCTTTAACAAATTTGTCTCACGAAAATTTCAAATTTAAGCTCTTTTTTGCTTTGCTTACTAAATTTAAAACAACTCTAGTTGGGCAAAATGTCATTTAACTTATGTAACTTAGTTTTCCCTGTAAAGTTAACCTAATTTGTAAAGACCGTAAAAATTAAATATTACTATGTAAGGTTGCATTTCAGGGTCTCTCTTTGAATTTTTAATTGCCAGGGGAGCAATTAAGTATGTTTAATGTTTAGAGGAATGGTATTTTTATACCAGAATATGGAAGTAACATAAATGTAAATATCTTTGTAAAGAAATACATATATTTGTCTTAGTATAGTATCTGTGACCTGAAAAGTGTGGGTGCTGTTTCTGATTGCTTTGTAACTATACAAATGCACCAATATTATTGACCTTCAGCTTTAAGGGATCTTTCATAGAAAATATTATCTTAGAAATACCTTGTACAAACTGAATAGTTTGAGATTCCAAGCTGTGCATGGAGAGGCAGACATTTTCAGCCATGGAAGGCTAGGTGAC